TTTTTTTTTTTTGTTGTTGCGATCTTTCAAGTTTTCTCGGGAAATAGTTGAGAAAAAAAAAAACTTGTTGTTCTCCTTCTTTCTCATATTTTCTTTAAACTTTGCTCTTTGTTCTATCTAGACTGAACAAAGCACACTGTTCTGGTGCTGTCATGTTCATTCAATAAATTTCAATTTTATGCTATATATATAAATATATACTGGGCTGCTTGGGCAACGTATCGGACATTGTGCACAGTCTATTTCTGTTGACCTCTATGATTTAAAACACACACCCCAACATCGTATCGGTGGCTTTAGCGATACCAACTGGCCGCAGTTCAGCAGCATTATTCCTTTCTATACATCAGTTATTTTCAAAAATTTGTTTGTTGCTTTAACGTTTGCTTATTGACTGTTCTTATTTCGTTTGCATACAAATATATACGTATGTATTTTCAAAAATTTTTGTGTTTTATCAATTTATTTTTTTTCAGGATTCTTTTTTTTTTTTTTGACTTGGAAAGAACCATCTAATCAGCATCAAATAGTTTATTTCGTCTACTGTACTATTACCGTCACTGTTGCTTCAAATTATTTGCTTACCACTTGCTGAAGAATGATTAAAAAAGAAAACAAATTTGAAGAACTCTTAAAAAATGGTAGTACCTCTATACTGATCAAAGTTCTCGGTGCATTAGCTAAGGTATGCTTAATATTAGTCAACTCAATTTCGTATTGTCAATAATGTTTTTGTCAAAAATTTTTTTGTTCTTGACAGCAGACTATCTTCTAATTTTACTGTTTTTCTTCAGTTTTGTGTGGTTAAGGTTGAAATTTCAATTGATTAAATAAAAAGAAGAAAAAGCAGAGAAAAAGAAAATTGAAAGAAGGAAAAACCGGTTAAAACATTTGCTGAAATATTAGAGACAACATTTTTTCAAAAAATTAGTAAAAATTTTTATAAAGAACTCAATTAATTCAGTTTTTTTTTCTGCTAAGATGACTTATTAAATTTTTTAGTCTGCTTTTTAGTTTAAAAAAGTTGAAAAAAACAGAAAAAGAAAGGAACTGAGGTAAAAAAAGAAAGAGAAAAACCAATAAAAGAGCAAAAAGAACCGGAATAGACAAGAAGTTGAACACCAATTTTGATCTTTTTGTAGAACTTTCATCAACATTTGTTAAGTGTCTTTCAGCGAATGTACTTTTAATTCTCAAATATACTTTCACAGTAGACTGTAACATTTGTTATAGGCTCTTCCGTTCGTTTCTTCTATTTTTTGGTGCACTGATCTTTGGTTATAGGTGAAACGAAGAAATAGATAACTAATAAAAAAGAAAGAAAAAAGTAGTATCTTAATTGTAAGAAGAAATTTATTGGTTAAGTACCACAAATAATTACTTGAATAAAGATGAAAGAAACAATTTGACAATTGCGTTTTTAGCTTTTTTTTTCTAAAATACAGTATTTGTAAGTGTTACAAAAACATTTAAAACAGTTTTTTTGAGTTTTCACCAATGTTAAAAATATTTTTTTAGCAATAAAAAATTGTTGCTGTATCAAGTAAAACCATATGATAAGTTGATAAGAGAGAAAAAAAAAGTAGAAAGTGGAAGAACAGCATGATAAGATATGCTTTATTTTAGATTATTTTCCTTATCTATGATGTTATCAGCTTTATTCCGTACAAAATTTTTGCTGATCCAACAGTAAAACTACAGAAATCGTCAAAAATTAAGGTTGGTAAATACTTTTTTTTAGCTTCTTTTTGTTTGCGTTTATTACCTGAACCATAAAAATCTGCCAAATTGGAACAGTTCAACGGTTAATAGTTGCCTTTCTGTCTTTCTTCTTCTTCTGTCTGTAATTAATTTAATTTGATCTAAACGAGAAAAAAATAAAAAAATTTTTAGACTAGACAAACGCATTAGTGAACACTGTTACGTCAACCTTGATTTATCAATAAACAGTCTTACTTCTTTTCCATTTTCGTTTTAAATTTTTTTTCCTGAAAATATTTAATTAAATTTTTGTGGTCATTTTTTTTTTGGTACTTTTTAATTTAATAATTTGATAAACAGCATTTATCTTATAATTGCTTTATGATAGTAGTATTCATTTTTTTAAAGGCAGCACCAATAGTAAAAGGAGATAACACGTCACCGTGGAGAAATGTTACAGCAATCGGTAGCGGTCTTGAAGAAAAGCTTTTGGGATGTTCAACAATCAAAGAGGTCAGTTGATAGGTGAAAAATTTTAGTTAATAAACAATTTAAAATTTTTCAGTCTTAGATTAGTTAGTGGAACCAGTAAGAAACATTTGCAATGATTTTAGGCCTGGGATAAAGCTGTGCACTTGTACGGTGATCGTCAATGCTTTGGAACTCGTGAAATTCTTGCCGTAACAGAAGAAAAACAAAAAAATGGCAGAATTTTTGAAAAGGTTTAACTTTTGATCAAAAAAACTTTTTTCTTACTTGGTTATCGTACTCAATTGTATAACGCATCATCAATTTACTTTTCTTTTAGCTTGAACTTGGATCTTATCATTGGCATACTTTCTCTGAGGCTAATGATATGATTTTGGGACTGTCTAAAGGTAATAAAATACTGCATCTTCTCAGTTCTTTCCTGAATATTTTGATTTTCTTTGCGTTACTCGAGTTAAGAAAATTTTTATTTAATAAAGAAAAATTTTTTTTCAAAAGCATTGATGTAATAAATCTAAAATTTTATCGTTGTTACTGTTGAGATTTTTAATTTGTAGGTAAAGTTGCATGGTTAATATAAAAACTGTGGCAATTCGTTGAAGTTGCCTTAAGCAGTAAACCTGACAAGTTTTGAAAAGGTTTTGATAAGTAGCTGTTGATCTGTTGCGTTAATTTAACGTCATTAGGTATTTCTAAAGATAAACAGCCCAAGTATTAATCTGACATATGCTTAAAGTTCGAGAAACCTTAGTTTTCAAAACAGAAAAGAAGAGATTTTACCAATAAACGATAATTTCACTTCCGTTTTTTTTACTGTATTATCTATACTCAGATTTTACTTTTTCTGCAAAAAAACTGACATATTTAACTGTAAACGCCTAATTATGCGTAAAAATTTCGTCTTGTGAAGCCATTTAAAACTGCTTACCTTCTGTTCATCAAATTTTGTTTCTGATCTTTATTTGTGTAAACAAATAAACCAAGAAGGATTTGTTGTTCGAATATGAAATTTCTTTTTTTCGCATCAAATTTAATAATATTTTAGTTTTTTAAAGTTTAAAAATTTGTCAATATCTTTTACAAGGAAAAATGGATTTACTGATAATGATTCTGATGCCACAGTATGCTATAGAATAGGGCGATAGCACGTACCAAATGGACATTTTATATTACCAATAACTAAATATAATTTTAGAAAAATATTGCTGTTTATTTTGTCACAGTTGAAATGCCAGTAGATTTTGATTGCAATATTCAGGGCTAAGAGACATCGGTGTTCGAAAGAATGATAGAGCGGTGATTTACTCAGAAACCCGTGAAGAATGGATGATTTCGGCTATGGCTTGCTTTCGAAGCGGCTTACCACGTATGTTATACAGCTTAGTTCTGTGCAAAAAAAATTGATTATCGTGGCTGATTAAATAAAATTAATTAGAACAGCATTAACGAACTGCAGATTCATGAAATTTTGAACTGCTAACAGTCTTGCTTGCACTGGTGTTGTAAATGGTTGGTAATCCTTCATAACCAAAAGATTTCAGTTGCCACTGTGTACGCAAGTTTGGGTATCGATGCTGTTGCTCATTCAATCCGAGAATGTGAAGCTACCACTGTGTTCACCACTGCACTGCTCTTGCCGAAGGTTACAATTTGTTAATTTTTGCTTGAGATAATTGAAGAACAGTAGTCGTAGAGATGTTGCTGTGAATCAAATCAACCAGAAAAATGTTTCGAAAAGTTAACGGTTGCCTGATGAAACGCTTGAAAAAAAGCTTCGAAAAAACTTAAATTAAAAACCTAAAACTCTTATCTAACCAACGCTTATTCAGATAGCTGGCATCATCAAGAACTGCCAAACTGTAAAGTATATTATATGCTTCCCAGATCATAAACCCAATTTTGAATTAAAAATACCAACTGAGTTATCCAAGTCCAACATTCGAGTACTGCTTTTTGAAGATATACTTCGAATTGGAGACGAAACAGGTATACTTAAGCTGTGGTAACGCCACTAATGCTTACTTTTATATTTAATTTACTGTTATTTTCTGTATATTAATAAGACTAGTTCTGTTGTAGGTAACTCAAAATCGAATACAAGTTATGTGGGAAATTTTGCAGAAGATTTTTCTATAAAAGATCACGCTGTTTGATATCGTTGTTGACTTTTCCTAACAGACTGTTTATTTAAGATGAAGAGTTGAAAACTGAAGTTGATCCTGACGATATTGCCATGATTATGTATACTAGCGGTACTACGGGGAATCCAAAAGGCGTTGTAATGCTTCACAAAAATTTGGTTGCTGCAACAGGTGGTCAGCGATCAAGCTTTCCGTTGAGGTTAGTTCTTACAAAAATATTACAGGTACAAAAATTAAGTAATATCAATTCATTGTCTCTATTAAGCTGACAGTGCCCCTTTTACAGTGAAAATGATGTATATATTGGCTATCTACCGCTTGCACATATCCTTGAAGTTTGTGCAGAACTTGTTGTTTTGTCATATGGAGCAAAAATTGGATACTCGGCGCCAACAACATTGTTTGATTCGGCATCCAGATTAAAAAAAGGGCAACGTGGCGATTGTTCGGTATTAAAACCAACGCTGTTGGCGTGTATACCAGTAAGTTACTCATTAAAAAATAACAAAAAAACACATATTTTTTAACTTATAACAATAAGTGACTTATCCATTAAAAATATAAAACAAGCTGTTCGAGATACACAAGAAAAACTTTGTCGTTTAGAGTTAGTTGATATGAGAAATATTTTTAGGCAATTATGGATAGGATTTTTAAAGCTGTCACTGATAAAGTGGCCGGTAGTTCACCGTTGAAACGAGAACTATTTAGAATCAGTTATGAAAGAAAACGAGCTCGTTATGAAGAGGGCTATACTAGTTCCTTGTTAAATGGGTATTTTGTTGATAGCTCAAAACAAATGTAGAAAAAAGTCCAGCTTCTAAAAAAAATTTTTTTTTTGCAAAACTTTTGAACAATTTTAAAGCTTTCAAATTGTCAAACATATATCAGAAGCAACCTTTACGAGTTATTAAAATACAGAAAATAAGCAGGAAAAACATTACATAGTAGGAAATAAAAGCTGAACTCGGTAACTTGCAGTCTGGTATTCAATAATATCCGCAAGATGTTGGGAGGCCGACTTCGTTTCATTGCCAGTGGTGGGGCTCCATTGAACCCAGAAACCCAACGCTTCATGAACATCTGCTTTTGTTGTCCGGTACTTCAAGGTTACGGTCTAACGGAAACATGTGGAGGGGGAACACTTGGCAGTGGTAAATTTTATATTAATAATTGTTCTACAAAGTCTATAGGTTTGAAATCAAACAAAAAAATCAACGAGTCTAACCACAACTGGTTTTCTGTAAAGATTGTGGAAAGCGGTTTCATGGCTATGAAACAGTGGCTCTGTGAGGTTAAGCCTAATTGCCTTTTTTTTGTGGTAGCCATAGGACAGTCAATCTAAACCAATGTTCCGTAATAGCAACTCCTAGAAAAAAATTTCAGAAGACGATCTTAGTACGGGAACTGTAGGAGCCCCATTGACTTGCTGTGATATTCTTTTGCGAGAATGGGAGGAAGGTCAGTTTTTGAAACTTTTTTCATTTATCACATGCTAAACACTGCAAAATCTTATGATTTAAAAAACTTTTTGCACCTGATTTAGTGCGTTATCGAGCTGCATTTGCCAACATTGTTATCTAATTGTACAGAAGTGGAAGGAGTGTTTGACTGGCAAACAGCAGTTATAACTCCAAAGAGCATAACTGATTCCTAATTTGACAAAACAAAAGAAGGGCATTTTTAGTGTGTTTTAGGCGGTTATTCACCAAAGAACAAAGTACCGCAAGGAGAGATTCTGATTGGCGGTGAAAATGTTGCGTTGGGGTATTTGAACAATGAGGAAAAAACCCGTGAAGTTTTTCATGAAATTGATGGCAAACGTTATTTTACTACTGGGGATATTGGAGAATTTCGTGAAGACGGATCTTTGTGCATCATTGGTAATCTCTTTGCTGTAGTTGGAATATTCTACTTTCTTTTTTTTAAGCAGGAATTTTAAGACCGCATCTGGTAGATGTTGTTTATTTTCTTTCCCTTTTTACTTTTTGGATTACTGTCTATACTTCTTATAAAGCCATGTAGGGAATTTGCTGGAGTTTAGTACTTAAGAAATCCATTTTTATTTTAACTCTGTTTCCTGCAATTATTGGAGCACTTTTTTCTTTGTTACCATTTGAATTATGAATGATTTGTTTAGTGGTATTCGAAAAGAGAGAGGAGGGCGAGGAGAGGAGATAGGGATATGATTATGCGGAGAGAAAAAAAAGGATATGTTTTAAAGATTGAGTAGTTGTATAAATCTATGTTTTTAACAATCGGTCCTTGTCCGATGCAACTGATTGATTAAATGAACAATGCGGAATGTTCAAAAGTGGTGATTTCTAAAAAACAAAGGAGAGAAAGAAGAATTTAAAAGTTGTTTTTTCTTTAGATCGGAAAAAAGATTTATTAAAACTCTCACATGGTGAATATGTATCACTTGGAAAAGTTGAATCAACCTTGTCTGCTAATCCGATTGTGGATACTATTTGCATTTGTGGAGATTCAACTAAGGTTCGTTTAGATGCATTTTTGATTGAAGCAAAAATGATTTTCGTTCCTTTTTTGTTGTTATCTACTTCTCGGTAAAGAATAAGATGATAAGAAAATTTATTTGAACTTTGAACTCTCTTTTCCCTTTTTGCTAATTTACTTTTTCTTTTGCTTTCAAAAGTCACTCAAGTTTATTGGTTTAGTTGTAAGAGTGGCTTGTAGGATTTGGAAAAAACAAAGAAAAAGAGGCCACTCTTTTTTTTTGCAAGTGTAAGACAAATTATTTTTAAGTTTAAGATGGTGATTTTATTTCGAGTTTTTTTTTTTTAATGTACAAATGTCTTATTGGTTAGCAGCACAGTATAATAATATTGTCGATAAGTTTTTGCATTTTTAAATTATTGTGTTAGTAATTATTCTTTACAAAGAATTTTTCAATCATTTTTGCAGGATTACGTTGTCGCATTGATTGTACCAAAGAAGGATCATTTGATAAAAATTGCTGAAGAGGTTTGCAATTTCAGTATTTTTTTTCTTATGTTTTATTATGATGTTTGCACATCATTTTTTCTGTTCTTGATTTAATGATCTTGCTTTACTTTTGCCAGTCAAGAAGGTAAGAAGATGTTGGCTAGCAACAAATAGTTTCAAGAAAAGGAAGAAATGTTTTTCACCGTTGACATTGATATATTGATTATTATATTGATTATTATTCAAACATTTAAAGAAAGGAAAGAAATTGTCAATTGACACTGTCAGATGCTAATGATTTCGATCCATTTTTGCGTTGTTTCATATTTATTTGTTTTGGTATTGGTAATGGCGATGTTGATGATGATGGTGATGACACTGATGTCCTGTATTTAGGCTGATATTTCGACAACGGATTTTGAAACGCTGTGTAGAACAAAAGAGATCAAAGATAAAGTCCTGTCAGACATCCAAAATTACGGCAAAGGTTTCGTGCTTATTTAGTTTTGTTTTTGACTTTCTTTCCTGCATTTCAGTGTTTTTTTATACCATTAATTTAATTAGATTTATATTTCATTCGTTTTGCAATATTTTTTCGTTTGCTCTTTTTTTACCACAGACTTATCTCAACTCATATTAAGCAGATGAGATTTTTTTCGTTTTTGGCGATTAAGCGTTGATTGTTTTAGCAAAACTGCATAAAGCTGAAATCCCATATGATTTATGGTTATGCTCTGAGCCCTGGACACCGGATTCCGGTCTGTTAACTGAAGCACTGAAGCTGAAGAGGAAAAATATTGAACGAAAGTATAAAGACCAAATTGCTGCAATGTACAACAGTTAGGTTGAAAGGCGGAATAGCGACTAACCAAGGGGATATTTATGTAAGAATAATAAAAAATCAGGAAAGCGATAATCATTGTTTCTAATCTGAATTTAAATTTCTGTTTTTTTGTTCCTCATTTGTTTATTTCTTTGATGTTTATCTACCTTTTCTCTAATTGCCATAATTTTTTTGTTCACTAAAATAGGTGCTTTTTGACCAGTGTTTTTAAACTTTTTCTTCTTTTATTTTCTGTGTCAAAATCCACTGACTGTATACATATTTCGTAGATGTTACAGAGGATTTTCCTACATTTTTTCTCCGTCATTTTCGTTTGAATATTGTCAGTTCATAGACGGCAGAAGTTTTTTTTAGCATGTCAGATTTGTTTGACAATTGTTACTTTTTTTTTGTCCAGGAAGAAGAAGGAGTGAGGTGGAGGGGACGAATAAATAGCTAAAAATAAGTATTGTCGGGGGATAAAACTCGGCATTTAAAGAACAAGCAATAGATGGGAAGGTGATAGGGAACCGTGGTTTTGATCAGTTGAATAAAATTGCTGAAAAAAAAATTAAGAACGGTGATATTAAATGAGGAAGGGAATATTAATTAGCACTTTTTTTATCTGTATTTCTCTTCTTTCGTTTTTTTTTCTTTTTATTTCTGAAAGGGATGGTAAAGAATATAAATTAATGATATAAATTCTTATTGGAAGTCATTAATACTTGTAAAGATAAATTTAAAAAAAAGAAGAGATTTGCTGACGATGTTATTAGCTTATTAATTTAACAGCAATATCGTTAATATCCCTTTCTCCAGTTTCTTCCTGTATTATTCATTGGAGCCAAATTTTTGTTATAGGTTACCACAGAGAACTAATGCCATCTTAGTGTTTTCTTGCATTATTTTTGTTATTGATGGAAAAGACGGGCAACAGATGATGATAATTGTGTCGTCATTAGTGTGGTTGATTGACCTGCTCAAAAATAGTTGTTAGAAGGCGAAAAAAAAAACGAGGAGAAGTTGAGAATGGTTGAAGAAGGAGGAGTGAAGAGAAGCAAAGAAGGAAATCAGTCTGAAAGTCTAAGGGATAATTTTAGTTCTGTCTGGAGTTAACGAGATCTATGATCAAGTTTTATTTCACTTAGTGGCTATATGCAATGATATTTGATGAGCAAATGGGTAGGTTAATAACTATTTTGAGAAGGACAGAATAGGAGACAACTGAGGATTTTGGAGTACTGTAGTGAGAAATTAATAATATGAAAAATATGAGTGAAAACCTATGAAGCACTAATCCATTGGTTGATATCTGTGAACGTAAATAAATTAGGTTTTTTTCTCTTAACAGCGAAAAATACCTATCAGAAATGTTTTTTTTTTTATTTTGCTCATTATTATTACCATGTTATTACACATTTGTAAGCTTGTATATAGTGTTATTAGCTAGATTTTATTTCTTCCTTGAACCTTATTAGTGATGCAAACTTACACCAATTGCAGTGTGTAATGATGTAGTTTGAATGTATTAAAA